TTAGTAATCTACAGTGTCTATTGTTCCAATCTTTGTGGCCAGGTGTGCTCAATGTTTATCTTCCTCTTATAAGTGAGACCATGCAATATTTGGCTGTCCATTCCTGTGTAAATTTGCTTAGGGTGATTGTCTTCAGCTACATCCATGTTGCTGCAAAGGACATGGTTATACTTTTTATGGCTGCATAATATTCCATGATGTATATGTATCACATTTTCTTTTTCTAATTCACTGTTGATGGTCACCTAGGTTGATTCCATGTCTTTGCTCTTGTGAATACTGCTGTGGTGAACATATGAGTGCCTGTATTCACAATAAAATCATTCATATTCTTTCAGCTATATATCCAGTAGTGGGATTACTGAGTGGAATGGTAGTTCTGCTTTTAAGTTCTTTGAGAAATCCCCAAACTGTTTTCCACAGTGGCTGAACTAATTTACATTCCTGCCAACATTGTATAAGCATTCCCTTTTTTTCTATAGCCTCCCCAGCATGTATTTTTTGATTTTTTAGTGATAGCCATTCTGACTGATTTGACGGTAACTCTTAGCGATTTTGATTTGCATTTCTCTGATGATTAGTGATGAGGAGCATTTTTCCCATATGTTTGTTGGTCATTTGTATGTTTTCTTTTGAGAAGTATCTGTTCATCTCTCTTGTCCACTTTTTTGATGAAATTATTTGTTTTGCTTTTTGCTTGATGATTTAAGTTTCTTGTAGATTTTGGATGTTAGACCTTTGTCAGGTGCATAGTTTGTGAATATTTTCTCCCATTGTGTAGCTGGTCAATTTACTCTGTTGATAGTTTTTATTCCTTCCTTTTTTCCACTCTCTGTTTTATTGCAGAGAAATCAATTTCCCAGGGCATCTTGCTAGTGGCTTCCTGGTAGATTCAGCCAATAGAAGATGCTGGCAGAAGACTGGTAGGCAGGATCAGAGAAACCCAAGAGCATTTCTCTTCTGATGTCTAGATCTGGCTACTGTTGCCTGTCCACTGTGGCTCAAAGTCCTGATAGCTCTTTCCTCTGAGTGGAGAAGCACCAACAGTAGTTTCAGTTCTTGCCACATAGCTCCAGCTTCAGGGTCTGTCAACCCTGGTTCACACTGTTGTCTCTCTCCACGCTGGCAGCTTCTTCCTACTATGACTAATCTATAGGTTACCCAGTAGCAGTTTACATAGCTTCTCAGCTCTTCAATTGCACCTATTAAATCCCCTCTGTTCATAGGCATAGAGTATTTCTATTTACTGGCTAGACACTGGCTAATATAGAGTGTATGTTTTATGAGAGTAGTGGTTTTCTCTTACTTATTTTCATATCTCTCAGTATCAACAATGTATATTAAGCCTGTGGATAGCACTTCAAAAATATATCAAACTGAGAATACAAATTTATATGGAAAAGATTGAAAGGGTTTCCTTCTATTACACTGAATTCAGACATTCCCAAGAATATTGTACAATTTGTTATTAAATATTATCCTTTGAAACTTTATTCTTTGATGGAATAACAAAATTCACCACCATTTTCGACAGAGCATTTGCTTCGTAAACAAGATATGAGATTACAGATATACAAATTGTGTAGACATCTCGGGCTTATATTTTTTCCACTAAAATAAAACTTAGCTATTGAGCTAACTCAGTTATTTAACCTGATCTGAGAAGTAGCACATATTATTTACAAACTCATAAAATCTCCAAAACAGGGGACATACATACCTACTTATAGCTCTAATTAAAATGTAATTCTCTAGATGGTCTTTATATCAAGAAATCAATATCTATTAGATAATTAAATTATCAAAACTATTCTATAAGTCAATATTAACTAGTACATTAAAGTACACTCATGCAATGTCTGGAACCGTAATACAGTTTAATATGATGACATGTAATACACATAAATCCTTCAACGTGGAATATTTGAGTTTCATCTCTCACTCTGTTTGGTCTTTCTAAAAAAGATGCATTCAAGGCCAAAGTTAGGTAAATAATTAAAATAAAACTGGAATAATAAGTGACAGTTTATCTAAAACTAAATTTATCTCTATACCTAATTTCTAAAGGTTGCCTGTTATGTAACATGGGTCCAGTGTTGCTCCAGAGCTAGTAATGAATTCAGTGTGTGAAAGGGCATAGGTGAAAAACAGTTTCTAGAGAGAAGAATATAGTTAGAAAGCTTGGGTCATCAAAAGAAAAGGCACAGCTCACACATGTTTCAAAGTCCCCGTGGGAAGAAGTGCCAGAACCACATGTTCCACTAGGAGACTCTTTATGGTTTCTTTCAGCAAATTGACATCACCTTTCTATAGATTTATGTTGCAATTTCTGGCATTTTGAATTTGTGTATTAGCTGTTTATATAAGTAATTTGCCAATGCCTGATTTCCAGAACTTTGAGAGTGAAGGGGCTGTGAGGAGACAGTGTATTGGAACCAGCCAGTGGTAGCTCATAGAGAGCAAATTTTAAACTTTTTTTTGCCTGTGTTACAAAGATAACACAGTTCTGGACCTAGGAAGTTCATATTCTACCAGAATAAATAAATGAGATAATGTCCATTAAAATGTACTTACCTTGAGTGCTAACTTTTGAACTCAAATGGTTACTATAAACAGACTAGAGAAAATCTTAACTTTCCTGCACAGAGAATCTACTCAGCCCCTGCTATTCATGATGATTTTACCTATAAGAGTCGTGGCTATAATCTCTTATTTTCTCATTTGCAATGCTAAAAATAGTCACTTAAATGATGTTAACGTCCTCTATCACTCCTCTGTAAATGTCTTCAGGGAGGAAAAATAAATCTACAAATATATTCCTGATTTTTATTGGCAAATCTGAGTATCTTCTCAAGTCTATAATTGAAAACAGAGGCCCAGATACTTTTCTGTATATTTAAATATTTTGATGCTATAAATATTGAATAGAAATCATTCATGCAAAGCATGTATAGCAAACTGTTAAGTAAAACCTTATACATAGAAAATTGAATAGGGTTAAAATTTTAAACTAATTATTACATGAAACGTTCTGAGCTCTAAATATTGCATTATCTGCTCTACTTATGTAGCATGCCTTAAATATATTCTCTTAAAAATACTTGATCAATTTAGATGTACTGTCAATAAAATCAATATTTATAATTTGTGTATTAAGGATTGAATACACATATTTTCTTCATGTTTATGAAAGTCTGTTAATAATTTTTAAATTATTAAAGTATACTAGTGCTTCTCAGTCTAGATAAGGCCACATTACATGTGGTCTAGCACAATCTAATACAATTGCAGGAAAGTGTTTCTGCCATGCTGAAAACAGAATATTTCTACCAAAGGCATAGATCCACTTGCAAACACAAGAGTCAGGCAAAACTAATGCATTTCTCTCATACAGGGGGGCAATTTCCTTCTAAATTTCTTTCGGATATTTTTTCTTGATAAAATGTTACATTGTTTTTGTTATTGTGATAATTTTTGTGTTATTCTCCAGAATCATTTTTTCACTCTTTAAAATGTGCAGCTCCGATTATTCCCTAGACAATAACTGCATAAGAGCAGCTTCATACCATCCAAATATCAAGTAAGACAAATTATCTAACATTTCATCAAATTAACTTTATTCTGTAAATATGAGATAAAGTTAATCTTAAAGCTAAAAAATACAGTGAAAAAGTTTCCTGTGAGTTTGTTCATGAATACTAAATGCAATCTCCTAGTAAACACATAGTAATGAGTATTTTAGCTGATACCTCTATAAATTATTTTTTTCAAAATTTCTGTTCAAATCGTTAAAGGCCATGAATGAACATCGGGGATTGTTACTGCATTATTTCATATATAGTTGAGGGAAAGCAGAATTCAATATCTTTTATCACTGTCTGGTAAAATAATGAAATTTGAAAACATTTGCTTGACTTCATATACTCAACCAGTCAAATGTTCTGTGAATTGTATAGAGTCAACTCATACAAGACACGGAAACTATCCATGCAGTTGCATCAAACTATTTGGTCCATTAAGACCTCACTTAAGCTGCCAAGTTATATTTTTCCCTGCATAATATTGTTTGGCATCTGCATTGATCATATTAACTGGTCAACTGCCAAATGTCCACTTCACTTTGGCATGTAGCTAAGGATTATGAGAGTGAGAAATGATTTACTAAATTTCTAAAATTTACTATACCTGCCCAAATCACATAAAGTATACTAAAAAAATAAAACCCTCAATCATTCCTCAGGATTCCTCTCCAATTAATGTATACTTCCAGTTATAGAAAGAAAAGTATGCTTCTGAAAATGGAAATTGAATAATATGAACACAAATAAGTAGATGATAAAATCACTCATTTTAAAACCTATGTTTTAATGTATGGTACAAATCCTTGTGGTTTGTGATGCTAACTTGAAAATATATGAATACATATAAAATTTTCTTTTCACAGAATAGTGATGTACAATTTTGTAAGAAAAATATATGTGAGACACACTATATGATTAATAAGCATGTTATAAAATGTTACTATAATATTTTACTAGATTCTTAGTCATTTATCAATTATATTTTTATTGGCTACTATGAGACACTCTAATTTTTATAGAAGGAGATTCCAGCTTGGAAGAAAAGATATACATTCTAATGAATAAAATACAAGGAAGGCAAACTGGCTTAACAACAAAAAATTAAAATTATTTTCCAGTTATCCCTAGAAAATTAAAATATAATCACCTAGTTTTATTAAAAAATACAATGTAGTAAAAATTAAAAATGGCACTGATATATGGCTGGAGAAGAGAATTAGACAGCATCTTTTGTCTTTGACAAAGGCTATGCACTCCAAATGAGTGTGCCCGGTTATAAAGTTGGGGATGAAAATATCACAACTAAAATGTGTGAGTACATGTGTATGTGTATATAATCTTTAAAATTATTATATTATTTGTGGAGTATAAATATCAAATAAATTGAATTAATGGACATAAGAGAGCAGAAGGCAGAAGGGTAGTTAAGGGTAGAGTGGGGCTGGGGGGTGGGGATGGTTACAGCTTTTGAAACAATAGTATAAAATAGTATAAAAATAGTATATATCCACATACATATTCATATGCTAATTCCAGTACAACATAAATTAACATATCCATGTGTTATACTTCATTGTTTTCTTAAATGTTAGGAATAAATGAAGATAAAACTTTCGAATGTATTGAACTACAACGGTTAAATGTCATATGGTTCAATCAGAGATAATTCTGCACGGATTTTTCTCTAGAACAAAGTTATAATTGAATCATTGACATACAGGGTTGATGTCTCACCCCATTTTATCTCTAGCTCCCTGGCTTCATTTCTCATCTTCAAAAATATCTCCTTTCTGTCTGAAAAGTTCTTCTCCCATCTCCCTACATGGTCTTTCTAAATAATTCTAGATCAACTCACTCTCATTATCAGGAGTAAGAAATTATTATATAATTTCAGAAATTTCTGTTTTAGATTATTTATAGACTGATGAAACACCAAGTTTCATGAGGCCAAGGGCTTTTTGTGTTTTTTCACTGCCCTATATCTGGCACCTAAAAGGGAAATAGGTAGGCACTAAACGGATGCTTTTTTTTTTTTTTTTTTTTTTTTAGGAGTCAATGGCTTAGGATAAATCTTGATTCCAAGTATCTCTGTTCAGTGAGTCCTAATGACTGAGTTCAGCTGCTCTAGCATTCCCAAGCCAATAGTTCTCTGACAGTATTAAGATCTCTATACCATCTTTCTGTCCCTTATGCCTCCTGTCTCTTCTTAACCAGCATGTGGGCAAATTAGTCCAATAAAACTTCCCTCGCAAATAAGATTTATTCCTAACTCTCTTACTTCATTGCTTGGGTTTCCTTTTTCCTGTTTCCTCTCTCTTCTTTTCCCTTTCCTCTCCTTTTCCTCTCTCTAGGTGCTTTATATTTGGTATTGAATATGTTTATCGCCTTTAGTCATTTTAATATCTGTATTTTGCTATCTGTAAATTTTAATTCACAAAATATTTTTAGTATTAAGTAAAACAGGCATATTGTAGAAAACTGAAAAACAGTGTAAAGTAAAAACATGAAAATAAAACTCAGTCATCCAATGATAAGTACTCTCCATCCACAGCTGTCATTTCCTCTTGAATTCCAAGTCAGTACTCTTTCCTGAATTGGTACAATAGCCTCCTTATTGGGACTTACAATATTGCTCACCTACAGTCTGTTCTCAGCAGCTCATTCCTACTAATAAATCAATCTTCTGCTCAAAACTCACCAAAGTCCCGCTTTCTCTCAGAGTAAAATCTAGATATCTTACAAGGTTTTCCAAATAACTAGAATCCTGCCAGCTCTGACCTCCCCCATACTCTGCCTCACTCCCACTTAAACCGCAAAGCCTGCCATGCCATTTCTCAAACATTCTGGGACTGTTCTGCCTTTTGGGCCTTGGCTAGCCCTTCCTTCTACCCCAGACATCTCCCTGGCAAGTAACTTGACCTCCTACCAATCTTTGCTAGGTATCACCTCCTCGATGAGATCTCATCTGACCATCCTATTTACAGTGCAACCTATACTACCTGTACCCTCAAGGCTGCCTCTGTTTTACTAATTTTTGCAAAACAAAACAAAAAAGTAATCTTTTTTAGAGAGTATACAGTCAGATTTCATTTGTTTTTTCTTGACTGACTACCTGTCCTATATAAATTGTTCCAGAGTGAGGAACTTGCTCTGTATATTAGAATCTGTATTTTCACCAAGACCTAGAATAATGACGGGACATAACAGGCCCTAAGTAAATAACGTATTGCATAAATGAATGAACCTCTTTAAATCACAGTATCATTCCGTGCTCAGTGAAGGAACTTTACATATGTTAAGAAAAAAAAAGGGATTTAATATGATTCTGGAGGAGAAGGCTCTATCTTGGACCACCAAGAATGGTCCCAGCCACTGCAGAACCCACTTACAAAGATTTTACTCCCTATATCAAACCAGAAATATGAAGGAGTTTAGATACAGAGAACCAGGACCTGAGAAGAGTGGCCACTGTTTCAACTTTCCTGGACACCCTGAAGTCCAGTGACCACATTCTGGAATGAAATACTACCTTAGCCACAGGTGCTTCTTGACCAACAGGTTCATGTGCTCTGTGGGGGAGGGGTGTCCGCCAATACTGAGGCAGCCCGCCACGAAGGAGGTAGCTGGCCAAAGCTGAGGCAGCCCGCCGTTGCCAAGGCAACCCGCCATTGCTGAGGCAGCCCGACGTTGTCAAGGCAACTTGCCACAGCAGAGAGACTCCACCTCAACAGAGGCGGGCCACCATCGCCAAAGCAGTTCTAACTACACCCATATAAACAGGACTGCGAGGAAGTTCACTCGGCAGCTGGGCGGAGCCCACAGCAGCTCAGCAAAGCCTCTACAGGCCGACAGTGACTAGGCTGCCTCCTTGCTGGGCAGGGCAGGTCTGAAGGAAAAAAAAAGGAAGGCAGCAGCATAACGGAAACTCATAAATAAAGCCCTAAATCCCTGGGACAGAGCACCTGGGAACAAAAAGCAGTTTATGAGTTCTGCTGCAGCAGACCTAAACATACCTGCCCAGCAGCTCTGAATGAACAACAACAGAGCTCACAGCTCACCATTTGAGCTCCTATAAAGAAGAGACCGTCTCCTCAAGCAGCTCCCTGACCCCTATATATCCAAAGAGACACCTCATAAAGGAGAGATCAGATTGACACTAGGCGGGTATCCGTCTGAGACAAAGATAGCAGAAGAAGAAAACTGGTAATAACCCTTGCTGTTCAGCAGCTGCTGCAGGTCAACCTCAGGCAAGCAGGGCCTGGAGTGAACCTCAGCAGACCTACAGCAGAGGGGCCAGACTGTCAGAAGGAAAACAAAGAAACAGAAATAACCTCATCATCAACAAACAGAACGTCAATCTGAAAGATTTGAGACCCAATCTGAAAGCCAGCAACTACAAAGTCGACAGGTGGATAAATCCTTAAAGATGGGAAGAAACCAGCGCAAAAAGGATGAAAACACCCGAAACCAGAACACCTCTCCTCCTACAGGGGATCACAACTCCTCACCAGCAAGGGAACAAGGTTGGAGGGAGAACGAGTGTGATGAAATGACAGAATCAGAATTCAGAAGGTGGGTAGTAAGAAACTTCTGTGAACTTAAAGAACATGTTCTAACCAAATGCAAAGAAACTAAGAACCTTGAAAAAAGATTTGACGAATTGCTAACGAGAATGGACAAAATAGAAAGAAATATAAGTGAATTGATGGAGCTGAAAAACGCAACACGAGAACTTCGCGAAGCATGCACAAGTATCAACAGCCGAATTGACCAAGCAGAAGAAAGGATATCAGAGGTCGAAGATCAACTCAATGAAATAAAATGGGAAGGCAAGACTGGAGAAAAAAGGGTGAAAAGGAATGAACAAAATCTCCAAGAAATGTGGGACTATGTGAAAAGACCTAGTCTACGTTTGATAGGCGTACCTGAATGCAACGAAGAGAATGAATCCAAGCTGGAAAATACTCTTCAGGATATTATCCAGGAAAACTTCCCCAACGTAGCAAGGCAAGCAAACATTCAAGTCCAGGAAATACAGAGAACACCACAAAGATATTCGTCAAGAAGAGCAACCCCAAGGCACATAATCATCAGATTCACCAGGGTTGAAATGAAGGAGAAAATACTAAGGGCAGCCAGAGAGAAAGGTCGGGTTACCCACAAAGGGAAGCCCATCAGACTCACAGCAGATATCTCAGCAGAAACCCTACAAGCCAGAAGAGAGTGGGGACCAATATTCAACATCCTTAAAGAAAAGAACTTTCAACCCAGAATCTCCTGTCCAGCCAAAGTAAGCTTCATAAGTGAAGGAAAAATAAAATCATTTGGGAACATGCAAGTATTCAGAGATTTCGTCACCACCAGGCCAGCTCTACAAGAGCTCCTGAAAGAGGCTCTACACATATAAAGGAACAACAAGTACCAGCTCAACTAAAGGGCAAAACACCCAGCTAGCACCAAAATGGCAGTATCAAATTCGCACATAACAATATTAACCCTAAATGTAAATGAACTAAATGCCCCAATCAAAAGACACAGACTGGCAAATTGGATAAAAAGACAAAACCCATCGGTGTGCTGTATCTAGGAAACCCATCTCACATGCAAGGATACACAAAGGCTCAAAATAAAGGGATGGAGGAAGATTTACCAAGCAAATGGAGAGCAAAAAAAAAGCAGGAGTTGCAATTCTCATCTCTGATAAATTAGACTTTAAAGCAACAAAGATCATAAGAGACAAAGAGGGACATTACATAATGGTAAAAGGATCAATGCAACAAGAAGAGCTAACGATCCTAAATATATACGCACCCAATACAGGAGCACCCAGATACACAAGGCAAGTTCTTAATGACTTACAAAGAGACTTAGACTCCCACACAATAATAGTGGGAGACTTTAACACCCCATTGTCAATATTAGACAGATCAACCAGACAGAAAATTAACAAGGATATCCAGGACTTGAACTCAGACCTGGACCAAGCAAACCTAATAGACATTTACAGAACTCTCCACCCCAAATCCACAGAATATACATTCTTCTCAGCACCACATCACACCTACTGTAAAATTGACCACATAATTGGGAGTAAATCACTCCTCAGCAAATGCAAAAGAACAGAAATCGTAACAAACAGTCTCTCAGACCACAGTGCAATCAAGACAGAACTCAGAATTCAAAAACTAACCCAGAACCACACAGCTTCATGGAAACTGAACAACTTGCTCTTGAATGTTGACTGGATAAACAATGAAATGAAGACAGAAATGAATATGTTCTTCGAAACCGATGAGAATGAAGACACAACATACCGGAATCTCTGGGACACATTTAAAGCAGTCTCTAGAGGAAAATATATACGAATAAGTGCCCACATGAGAAGCAAGGAGGGATCAAAAATTGACGCCCTATCATCAAAAGTGATAGAGCTAGAGGAGCAAGACCAAAAAACCTCAAAGTCTAGCAGAAGACAAGAAATAGCTAAGATCAGAGCAGAACTGAAGGAGATAGAGACACAAAAAACCCTTCAAAAAATCAATAAATCCAGGAGCTGGTTTTTGGAAAAGATCTACAAAATAGACAGACCACTAGCCAGATTACTAAAAAAGAAAAGAGAATAACCAAATTGATGCAATGAAAAACGATAAAGGGGATATCACCACAGATTCCACAGAAATTCAAACCATCATCAGAGATTATTACAAACAACTCTATGCACATAAACTAATAAACCTGGAAGAAATTGACAAATTCCTGGACACTTGCCTCCTGCCAAGCCTAAACCAGGAAGAAGCCGAAACCCTGAACAGAGCCATAACAAGGTCTGAAGTTGAGGCAGCAATTAAGAGCTTACCACCCAAAAAAAGCCCAGGTCCAGATGGGTTCACAGACAAATTCTATCAGACATACAAGGAAGAGCTGGTACCATTCCTTCTGAAACTATACCACACAATACAAAAAGAGGGAATTCTTCCCAAATCATTTTATGAGACCAACATCATCCTGATTCCAAAACCTGGCAGAGACTCAACAAGAAAAGAAAACTTCAGGCCAATATCCATGATGAACATAGATGTAAAAATCTTCAATAAAATACTGACAAGCCAATTGCAACAGCACATCAAAAAGCTTATCCACCATGATCAAGTAGGCTTCATCCCGGGGATGCAAGGCTGGTTCAACATACGCAAGTCTATAAACATAATTCACCACATAAACAGAACCAAAGACAAAAAGCACATGATTATCTCAATTGATGTAGAGAAGGCCTTTGACAAAATTCAACAGCCCTTTATGCTAAAAACCCTCAATAAGCTAGGTATTGATGGAACGTATCTGAAAATAATAAAAGCTATTTATGACAAACCAACAGCCAATATCATACTGAATGGGCAAAAACTGGAAGCATTCCCCTTGAAATGTGGCAGCAGACAAGGATGCCCTCTCTCATCACTGCTATTCAATATAGTATTAGAAGTTCTAGCCAGAGCAATCAGGCAAGAAAAAGAAATAAAGGGCATTCAAATAGGAAAGGAGGAAGTCAAATTGTCTCTATTTGCAGACGACATGATTGTATATCTAGAAGACCCCATCGTCTCAGCCCCAAATCTCCTGAAACTGATAAGCAAGTTCAGCAAAGTCTCAGGATACAAAATCAATGTGCAAAAATCACATGCATTCCTATACACCAATAACAGGCTTAAAGAGAGCCAAATCAAGAACAAACTTCCGTTCACAATTGCCACAAAGAGAATAAAATACCTAGGAATACAACTAACAAGGAACGTAAAGGACCTCTTCAAGGAGAACTACAAGCCACTGCTCAATGAAATAAGAGAGGACACAAACAGATGGAGAAACATTCCATGTTCATGGTTAGGAAGAATCAATATCGTGAAAATGGCCATACTGCCCAAAGTAATTTACAGATTCAATGCTATCCCCATCAAGCTACCAATGACCTTTTTCACAGAACTGGAAAAAACCACCTTAAATTTCATATGGAACCAAAGAGAGCCCGCATAGACAAGTCAATTCTAAGCAAAAAGAACAAAGTGGGAGGCATCACACTACCGGACTTCAAACTATACTACAGGGCTACAGTAATCAAAACAGCATGGTACTGGTACCAAAACAAAGATATAGACCAATGGAACAGAACAGAGGTCTCGGAGGCAACACAACATATCTACAACCATCTGATCTTTGACAAACCAGACAAAAACAAGCAATGGGGAAAGGATTCCCTATTCAATACATGGTGTTGGGAAAGCTGGCTAGCCATGTGCAGAAAGTAGAAACTGGACCCCTTCCTGACACCTTACACTAAAATTAACTCCAGATGGATTAAACACTTAAACATAAGACCTAACACCATAAAAACCCTAGAAGAAAATCTAGGCAAAACCATTCAGGACATAGGCGTAGGCAAGGACTTCATGACCAAACACCAAAAGCATTGACAACAAAAGCCAAAATAGACAAATGGGACCTAATCAAACTCCACAGCTTCTGCACAACAAAAGAAACAGTCATTAGAGTGAGTCGGCAACCAACAGAATGGGAAAAAATTTTTGCAGTTTACCCATCTGACAAAGGGCTGATATCCAGAATTTACAAAGAACTAAAACAGATTTACAAGAAAAAAAACTAACAAGCCCATTCAAAAGTGGGCAAAGGATATGAACAGACACTTTACAAAAGAAGACATACATGAGGCCAACAAACATATGAAAAAAATTCTCATCATCACTGGTCATCACAGAAATGCAAATCAAAACTACATTGAGATACCATCTCACGCCAGTTAGAATGGCGATCATTAAAAAATCAGGAGACAACAGATGCTGGAGAGGATGTGGAGAAATTAGGAACACGTTTGCACTGTTGGTGGGAGTGTAAATTAGTTCAACCATTGTGAAAGACAGTGTGGTGATTCCTCATGGACCTAGAAACAGAAATTCCATTTGACCCAGCAATCCCATTACTGGGTATATATCCAAAAGATTACAAATCGTTCTACTATAAGGACATGTGCACACAAATGTTCATTGCAGCACTGTTTACAATAGCAAAGACCTGGAACCAACCCAAATGCCCATTGACGATAGACTGGATAGGGAAAATATGGCATATATACACCATGGAATAATATGCAGCCATCAAAAACGATGAGTTTGGGTCCTTTGTAGGGGCATGGATGAACCTGGAAACCATCATTCTCAGCAAACTGACAGAAGAGCAGAAGATCAAACACCGCATGTTCTCACTGGTAGGTGGGTGTTGAACAATGAGAACACATGGACTCAGGGAGGGGAGCACTACACACTGGGGTCAGTTGGGGGGAAATAGGGGAGGGACAGTGGGGGGTGGGGAGCTGGGGAGAGATAGCAAGGGGAGAAATGCCAGATGTAGGTGATGGGGAGGAAGGCAGCAAATCACACTGCCACGTGTGTACCTATGCAACAATTTTGCATGTTCTTCACATGTACCCCAAAACCTAAAATGCAATAAAATAAATGGGAAAATAAAATAAAATAAAATAAAATAAAAAATAAAAATCCCCCCCAAAAAAAAAGAATTTTAATAAACATCATTTTCCTTATTTTATCCTACTTTAGGGGTTTAGTTCCCATAAAGTTGAGCTAAAGGCACCAGCTTGGCAGACTTGTTTTTTTATTCTTCTTTTTTTTTTCTATTTTCTTAAGCTTTTGTTTCATACTGTTAAATGAACTAGATAGTTCCTATTTTGTCGTGGAGTTTGTATTTTTCCAGAATTACTAGACTAAAGGAAAAGAATGCTTTTAAGTAAACACATATTGCTGTGATCTTTTATTCAGAAATATACTAATCTGCTTCCCTATTTTAGCGTGCATTCACTACCACTGGATAGCATGATGAACGTGTTGTAAACTTTTAAATTATTTAAGGTATAACTTAAACAAAATGAAGTGCGCAAATACTAACTATACTGCTTAATAAACTGTTAAAAAGTGAACAGACCTGGATACCACCTCCCACATTGAATACAGAATGCTGCCAGCACAGAAGATACTGCAGCCTTTCCCTTCACCACAGTGGCCACTAGCTGACTCTTGTCAAGTCAATTTTGCTTGCTTTTCAAATGTCTATAAATAAAACAACACTGCATGTAACATTTTATATCTGCCTCTTTCACTCAACATTATGTATGTGAGGTACAGCTATGTTTGTGTCTGTTTTTATCATTTCTCTATAGCTTTCCATCCTAGACATATTTTTTATATTGCTTCAGTTTGGGGCAATCATGGAAAATGCTGGTATCTTTTGTATTTCTGTATCTTTTAAAATAATCACCTGATAATGATTTTTCTGCCAGTTGTTTAGAACAATTATTTTTATGTCTACTTTAAAGGTTTTATTGTATAAATATTTGTGTTTACATTTTGCTATACTATGACCTATATAAATTCTGACTGGGAAAATTATTAAGATTTTATTTGGAGGAAATATATATGTTTTTGATTTTTCTTTTGTGTCCAATGGCTTTATTCTTAGTTTGAAGTAAAAACATTTTGATACATGGTTATAAATATTAATTTTAAGTATATATCAATATATTTAGACCCCTAAAGTCTTAGCCTACTTTTATTCCCCATTCTTTCATTTCCATGTTTCTGATCTTCACTAATTTAATCTTGGATTAGAGGTACTATTATAATAATTATTTGTATAATATAGTTTAAAACTTAGCTTTCACATTTGTTTCAATGTTTTACATTTTTCATCTTTTATTAGGAACAGCATAATTATTTCTCTAGACAATATTTGAAAGGATAGTAATTATTAGGCTAATGTCATATTAAAAGAAGTTTCAGAAAGAATTTATTAATCATCAGTAAAGGTTATCACCGCCCTGACGGTTCACTAAATGTGAATCCTGGGCACCAGGGCTCATCCAAGAATAGGATTATAACAATGGTATTAATATGAGCACACATTTATTAAACATGTAATTATATGTTGGTAGCATATTGTGTGCTTACAGTCTGACTCTAAGACTTGAGTTGTTATCTTCACATTATGCTTCTGGCAATGGACGACTTCAAAATATCACAGATAGGGAATGGATCACTACATGATCAGGCTTGGTTTTCATCGGCTTATATTTGGATCTGTATATGCCTGCAAGGTTATTGCTTTCAGTATCTCCATATGGGCTGATTAAGCCTAAACAAAGACTAGTAGACTGGAAGACAGTTGGCTTTCCCTAGATCTGCAAATGACAAGATTCCTTCAATGTTCATGCTGAATTTTACATTACTCTGAGGAGTTTATCTGCACCTATAATTTTACTCAAATTAATTGTAAGATCCAAAACTTATAGCTAATAATAATAGGGTCTAAATAAAACCATCTTCCTTTAATCCACCAATTTATGTAAAATCAAATCATAACTCTCCCTTTCAAAAAGTAATAATACATTAAAGGGTAAGGAGTATAAATAACATCTTACCTATGCACACATCCAGAGTAAATTTAGCTTTCCATGTGATGAAAAAAAAATCATTTTCTAGGCCATCAAAATTAATAAATATTTGAGATTAAATATGTATTTACAACTTTACATGAAAGCAACTTAAGAATAATTGGACAAATTCCAGGTAAAATAGAACACTGAATTCAGCAGTACATTAGTTGAATAATAAAACATGATTAAGAAGCGTGTATTGTAAAACAGCAGAAATGTTTTTTCTATCAAGAGATTATTCATATAATTCATCCCATAAATTGCTCAATAGAAGGGGAAAAATAACTCTAAATCATCTCAATAATGGCCCAAAAACCACTTGATTAAATTTTTAAATTAATTGATTACAATTTAAAAATTCATTTAAAAAAATAGAAATGCAGGGCATTAAAATAAGCAGGATGTTCCATAGACTGATAGACAGTCTCTGCAGTAATCATCATCATCATCACCACATTTAATGGTAAAACACTGCAACAAACATATAAAATCAGAAAAAGAACCTAAGGTGCTTGCTTTTCAACTTTTTTTTTTAGTGCTACGTTTAAATT